GTTATTCAGTTGTCCAGAGATACCATAGGATTTTATTTTTAGGAGTAGTTTGTCGTGTACCACTGAATCAAAGGCTTTACAGAAGTCTATGTAGATTGCGTCTATTGTTTTGCCCTGGTCGAGTTGTGTCGTCGATATGTTTTTGCAGTGTAAGAGTTGCAGATTACAGGATAGTTTTTTCCTGAAACCAAATTGTTTATTGGAGAGTAGATTATTTGTCTCTAAGTGAAGGATGATGGATTGGTTAATAATTGATTCCATGACTTTACAGGTGACGCAGCATAAGGAGATTGGCCTGTAGTTTTCAACTAGGCTTGGGTCTCCCTTTTTGAAGATGGGGATGACTGTGGCTTGTGACCATAGGTTAGGCAAGGAGCTGGTTCTACACATATGGGTTGAATCTGCCTTTCTGCCCAGAGACTGAGTCATCAATCTTTGCCATGCCTCTTCCTGTCGGGCCAGGAAGTCCCCTAGCACCAGTCATGACTCAGTCTTGGCCCTATAGAGACGTGACAAAGGTTGGCTCCAATAATTACAGCAGAAAGCAGCATTTTGATTTGTGGATTCTCCAAAAGGATTGCGAAGCTTCAAAAAAGATCGTAAACAGGCAGCAACTGGAACTTCTGCCTGCTCCGTTTTCATGGCTTCCCTGAACTACCAATTAGGATCTCACAACTGAGTCAAACAGGAGAGCTCCAAAACAATCCCCACCCTTTGGGGGGGCACAGAAGCTGCGATCACCCCATGTGCGCTGTTTGCACGCCCAGGCTCAACCAGGTAAATCAGGGGTAGCCGTTTGTGCTAATAGCACCTTACAGCTGATTTTTGGTGCCGGCGGTGGCCATTTTGCTTGTTGACCGTGTGGCAAGTTGTTCAGGCTACTGCAGGAAACTGGTAGTGCTGCCACTGTCACAGTCCAGGATAGGAACCCAGGGCTGAAGAGCTGTCCAAGGAAGAGGATTGGAGGATTGAGCGCAGCTCTCTTCCTTGCACAATCTGGGTAGTAAGCACGATGGCTGACCAAGCAGCAGCCAGCATGGGGCCCAAACGTGCTAAACGGTCCAAGCAGAGCCCCAAGCAGGCCAGATCTGCAAGTAAAGAGGCAGCAAACAAGATAAAGTCAAAAGCCCTTTATTCCAGAAACCCCACAAGAGCAGAAGAAAGAAGGCAAAGAGCATTGGAAAAACAATTCTCCAGAGCTCAGAAGCAAGCAGAACAGGAGAGGTATTCCCCCTCCCCGCAGCCAGAGCCTGGTTGTTGTCAGCAGCCATTAGTACAAGATTTGCCTGCAGATCCTGGAGCTTGGTCACCAGAGGGAGATAGAGAGCAGGAATACATTCCATCTGCAGAGGAAATCCAAACTCAAAGATTTCCATTTGATTGCAAGATCCCTACAGGTCAGATTTACAGGTCAGAGACAGAACTAGGGTTCCTGAGGTCACAATTACTCCCACAGCAGTGGGGCTCTGCTTAGCAGATAGATTGGCTCCAGAACTATCAGATGAGATCAAGGCCTTTATTTTTCAGGCCATTTCTCAGGGGGTGGCTTCTACCCTGAGAGGGAGGAGCCATCCATCTTCCCTAAGGTCTGATCCTCAAACATTGCAATCTGTGCAATACTAGACCTCGATGGAATCCCTTAGGCACCAGAGGGCTGCTAATCCGGCCCACTCCATCAGAAGTAGGGCATCAGTTATAGAGGAGGAAGGTCAGGGAGAACAGGAGTTTTCAGAAGATGAGGACTGTTTAAATCCCTACTCCATAAGGCTAGGACCACGGCCCAAATTGATCCTCAGCCTAATGTTCCAGCTGCTTCATCCGAAAATCAGGGACCCAACAGCAGGGTTTTTTCCAAACCCACCATTCTACAGTAGGATATTCCGTGCTCCAAACTGTTTTTGGAAGTAGTTCAGAGACAATGGATGCAACCGGGCTCCTTCCCCACACCTATAATGATAAGAAGTTTTTCAATATGGCTCCTCCTTACCAAGTAACTTCAATTGCCTCCTCTGGATGAACCATTGGCGTTCTTGGTTTCACCCTCTGTGATTTCCGGTGACATAGCAGAGACCCTTAAGACAGAGGATAAGAAGGTGGAACAAAATTTTCGTAGGACGTACCAGGCCAATGCCTGGGCGGTCAAAGCAGCAGCGGCCATCTTCACCAGAACATCCCTCCTCTGGCTTCACCAATTACAGGCCAGGATTGCCTCAGAGGAAATCAGAATGCATCGGGACATCAATCAATTGGTGGTGGCCGCCGAATTTGCGGCCGATTCTTCCCTGCATGCAGCCCAATTTTCTTCCACTGGCCTCCAACATTACTTCTTGTCGCTTGCTGTGGCTGCGACATTGGCAGGCGGATGCTAGAACTAAATGGAAAGTGGCTTCAGCTCCATAAACGGGTTCATCCCTATTTGGAGAGGCCTTGAACCTTTTCCTGGTAGAAAACAAGGATAAATGTAAGGTGTTCTCTCTTAACAGGAGGACTGATAGAAGAGCTTCTCCTTACACCCGTAGGCAGCCATTTCATTCCTCAGACTCGGGTCAGGAATTCTCGCAATTTCAAAGATCCTACCAGTCCAGATCAGATCGACTTCCAGATAGGTTGGGATTTTGAGATAGAAATAGACAACAGTTCCAATCCAAGCAGCCCTTTTGTGGAACAGGAGGTCATCCCTTTTGTCGATCCAAATGACTGCCGGACCCCTCCTTCCATCAGCGGCCGGCTGGCCCTTTTTGCGGATTGATGGGAGACGATCACATCCAATTCTTGGGTCTGGAAAACAGCGCAATTCGGTCTCACACTGGATTTTTTTTCTGCTCTTCCAAGGACCTTCACCCGTTGCTCAACCTCCAAAAAACTCTTGAAAAAAGAGCTTATGAACAAGGCAGTCCAACACTTGTTGGACATCCAGGCCATTGAGCCAGTACCGGAGGACCAGAGGGGGCATGGGTTTTACTCCATCCTATTTGTAGTTACAAAAGACTCGGAGATTGGTGGAGAGCGATTCTGGATCTAAAAAGGCTGAATACCCACATAGAATACAAGACATTCAAAATGCAATCTCTGCAGTCAATATTGGAAGGCATGGGGGGGGGGCGATCTCCTGACATCCATTGATTTGATAGAGGTCTACCTCCACATTCCCATCTACCCCTCCCATCGGAGATTTCTCAGGTTCTATTATCTCAAGCCACCAATGATTCACAGGTACCCTTCCTGGAACCCTTCCTGTTTACAGTCTTACAAGCCCTTACCCAGGCACCATTTGAACCTTTTCAATCTGTAAGCCTGCACTACTTAACACTCAGAGTCGCCTTTTTAGTGGCCATCACCTCAGCCAGGCATATATCGGAATTGGCAGTTCTTTCAGTCAGAGAAGACCTCTTCACCTTCCACACAAACAGGGTAGTTCTGTGCCTCGACCCCTCCTTCATCTCTAAGATAAACTCCCGCTTCCATGGGGCTCAGGAAATTGTCCTACCTGACTTCTGCCACACTCCATCTCATGATATATGAGCCCACTCCATTTCATGATATATGAGCACAGATAGCACAAACTGGATGTAAGAAGGGCATTCTGTAGATACATCAAAAGAACATTGACCTATCGCAAAACCGAAGCTCTGTTTGTCTCATTTTAGCCATGTTTAATGGGTACCAAAATCTCTTCCTCAACCATAGGCTGTTGGATCAGGGCTTGTATAGCCAAGGCCTACAAGACTCAGGCTTTTCCTGTACCCAGATGAGTAACCACCCATTCAACTAGAAGTGCAGCTACGACAGCTGCCTGGGCGACACAAGCCTCACTTGAGGATATCTGCAGGGCAGCGACGTGGTCCTCCCCGTCTCCTTTCGTAAGGCACTACAAACTGGATACATATGCCTCAGCAGAGGCAGCACTCGGCAGAAGAGTGCTACAATGAGTGCATACAGATGGGGGTTCACAGGACCAGACTTTTTCCCGCTCATAGGGATTGCCAGCTTTGGTATGTCCCATATGTGTGGATTCTCCCATAGCCATGCTGGGGAATAGGCGTTGGCTTACCTGAACGCAGTTTCTCAGCATGCCTTGCCTCCACTCCCACCCTGGCAACTATCTGGTCCAGTGTCCAGGTGGGAGGCAGAGCCAACGCCCCAAGGAAGATCATCAGGTGGCTGCGCCTTCATCATGACTGGGGTTAGGGGACTTCCTGGCCTGACAGGAAGAGGCATGGCCAAGATTGATGACTAAGTCTCTGGGCAGAAAGGCAGATTCAACCCATATGTGTGGATTCTCCCAAGGCATGCTGAGAAACTGCATTCAGGTAAGCCAACGCCTATTTTGTTCCTCCTTTAGCATCCTTCTTTAATGATTGATTCCACCATTTCTTTGATATTATCAGATTGTGGAATAAAATCATTAAAGAAAGGATGCTAAAGGAGGGACAAAATGAAATATGAATGACAAAAATTAAAATAATGGTGAAGAAACAGCGGCAGATAACAGAACAATTCTCTCACATTGAGGTATCCTACGTTGAATTGTCCTGCATCAAATTGTCTCTCATTGAGTTGGCTGGGGTAAGATGGCCATGGGAAATTGTCCTAGACCCAATTTTCTCCCGAGTCAGTATGATCAGTGTCTAGAAATGTTGAGAACTAAAATCCCATAAAATTCAGAAGTTGCAGATTACCTATTCATGTCTTATAATATGGGTTACCTTATGAAAATGATTATGAGCTAAATGGAGAATACTTGATGTACTCCAAAAACTTAGTTGTCTTGTAACACACGTACTTTAAAAGATGTTCTTGTCAGGGCATTTGAAATATTTTTTGCTTGGCCTTTATTAACGTAGAAGATTATTGAATCAGAAAGTATTCTGACATTTTTATGATTGGGCACACTTTGCTAATAGATTTAGAAAAATATGATCAATCTTCAGTTTAATAAAAAATATAGAAAACAAAACAAAATCTGGAAAAGCATAAGAAATATCCTCTTTTGGTTGCAGTTGGTGTGATCAGATGCCCAATTTGTCGCCAAGAATGCAGACAAATAGATTTGGTAGATAACTACTTTGTCAAAGAAACATCTGAAGTACCAAGCAGCTCTGATGAGAAAACTGAACAGGTATGTCACTTCCAGCTTTTCCTCTTTGCAATGTAGTTTGATTTACATTCTGTGTAGGGTAATATGTTTGTGCATTTAGTAATTTCCAGAATTTGTCAAGATGTAAATATTTGAAGATAACATTTTTCTTGATTCTAGGTATGCACCAGTTGTGACGACAATTCTAGTGCTGTTGGGTTCTGTGTGGAATGTGGAGAATGGCTTTGCAAAACTTGTATAGAAGCTCATCAACGTGTAAAATTTACAAAGGACCATATGATCAGAAAAAAAGAAGATGTCTCTTCAGGTGAAAATATTGATTGAGTAGTTATGATGAAATGCTTCGAGACATGTCATTTGCCTAAAATAATGAAAATCCGTGATGTCATTTTCATAAAAAGATTGAGGAACTTGCATTTAATCAACTTAAAAATACTATTGAATATTTATATTGTGGATGATTTTATTCAGTTGGAATATTTAGAGAGCATAATGCAAATTGCCATTACTTATATATCTATCTTATAATTTCATTTATATCAATATTTTACGCCAATTTTTCAATGCTGTGCTTGAGAGATATTTTAAGTTTTAAATAATATCTATCTCTTATATTTAAACACCGCATTTTGCAACATGTACAAAATATTTCCAAATCCTATGTCAGAATTAGTCTGACAAATAAAGGTAAAACCAGTAATTCTAAAACAGTTTAAAACAGATTAACATTTAAGGCCAACATAAGTCTTCATTCTGAAAGGTACTGAAACTCCTTCTGCTCTGGTCTGAAAAAGAAGCACACTGAAATACAAGCAGGATTTCCAACCCCAGAGAGGATTTTTGCAATAACCACTTTCAGCCTTTTTCAGCCCCAGTGTGGTCTCTCTGCTCTGGGGCTGAAAATCCTGCTGGGAGTTTGCTACGGACCTCTCAGCAGATGGCAGCAGTTTGACTTTCTGAAGAAGCTCACAGGAAACATTGCAGATGGCAACCACATGATGGTGGGATGCTTGCTTGTAAGTGCGGTCTTCTTTTCTGACTCAAAAATGTTATTAAAGGGTATAAGGTTTTGTGAGCTGCAGCTGCCTTCATCAGGTGCATGGAGCCCCTTGACTGATGAGAGGGTTGAAATTAGGATGAAGTAGATGGAAAAGGGAGCAGAAGACCGATGTAGTTGTACAGATTTAGGATTACACATGAGACAGATTAAAAGTGTGTTACCAGTTTGCAGTTGTTATGTGTCAAAACCTTCTGACCCAACAGACTTTGTAGAAAAAAAATCTGTTTAGCTTCTACTTCAGCACTGAAATCTAAGAGTGACTTACGAAGCACAAACTACATGAAATGCTCTCTCCCTCCCTCCCAAATAGAGTGGTGTTATTTGAATTTTGTCAGTGTCTTTCACCTTAAGAGGAGAAAGGTAGTTTTCTTACAAATGATGTATAATTAGCAAGGTACACCTTTTTTTAAAAAATAGATATGAACAGAGTTCAATCATGCAGGATTTATTTTTAAAAATATTTGACAGTGACCAACTAGTATAAAAGAGTTTTTAACATAGAGAGTAGTACTGTATTTACGTTTTGCAGGAGTTGAGAAATGGCAATTGAGATTAAGTGGTGATCTTAGAGACAAAAAATTACAGGTATTCCTTGATTTATGATTGTTTGTTTAATGTTGGTTTGAAGTTACAATGGCCTTGGAAACTGTCATTATCCTTATGATATGATCAGAATTTGGGCTCTTGGTAGCCACTTTGTATTTATGATGGTAGCAGTACCTTGCAGTCATGTGATTATAATTTGCAACCTTCCCAGCTAGCTTCAGACAAGCAGTCAATTTGGCTTTGTTCAACAGTCATGTATTTCACTTAGTGACCACAATGATTCACTTAACAATCACAGTAAAATGGTCATAAAATTGGATCTGATCATGTGACCATGCTTTACTGCATTGCTTAGTGACCAAAGTTGTCATAAGTTGAGGACTATCCTAAAAAGAAAAAAGTTGCAGTGGTAAAATGAGACAAGGTCGGTTAGTTTTATAAATGTGAATAATGCTGACCTATTTACAGCAAAACAATTATCACATATCTTTTTCTTAGGTATACAAATAAATGTGAATACTGCCTTTGTCCCTTTGGCTGGCTACGTAACTAAATAGCTAGCCATGGGTTATTGCAACTAATCTGCCCCTTAATCTAGGTCAGGGGTCTTCAAACTTGACAGCTTTAAGACTTGTGGACTTCAGTTCCCAGAATTCCTCCTCCAGTCATGTTAGCTCAGGAATTCTGGGAGTTGAAGTCCACAAGTCTTAAACTTGGCAAGTTTGAAGACCCTTAATCTAGGTATTGTTTTGCTGAAGAGATATTAGTTAGTGCTAGTATATTTCCTGAGAGAAGCAAACAGTTTAACAAGATAGTTCGTGTAATATTAATTGGAAATCAGTGAAGCATTTCAGTCAGAATAAATATGACTAATGATAAAATGACAGTCTTCAGCTAGCTTTCATTGTCTGCATTACCAGTTATATTGGATTCCTTAGAATTTTGGTTTGTGATTTAGACAGTCTGTCTCTTACAATACAGAAGCTGTTGGAGCATCTGGTCAACGTCCTGTTTTTTGTCCTGTGCACAAACAAGAACAGTTAAAACTTTTCTGTGAAACCTGTGATAGGCTGACGTGCAGAGATTGTCAGTTACTGGAACACAAAGAACATAGGTATAGTTGTCTGTGTCTTTCTTAATACACCTTTTCTTATATAGATAACTTTGAAAAATAATCATGTAATTACTATATTTAAAGCCTTCTTTCCTTTTGCTTTTGTGCCAAATAGCCGTGCAGTAATTCAGCCTTTTGTTTCTAATCCTGATATAGTTAGGTCATGTGACAATTAAAAATAAGTAGACATCTAAATAAAAAAAATATTTGTCAATGTAATCATGACTTTTAATTGTTAACTTTATATATGTTTGTACATTAGTAAATGTTCTTTGATTTTAGATGATACCTGAAGCAGGTGCCATTTTAGAAAGAAACATTCCCTCCAGTATGGTGGTGGTGGGTGGGAGGAAGGAAGTAAATGTCTCTTCTAAGTTAGTACCAGTGCTTTTGGTCCTTGTAAGTACACTTATCTAAAAAATATTTTTTCTAAATTATATTGCCTAATTAACCAGAAGTATTTTTAACATATCAGGATTTCATAAATAATTTAAACTTGCATCACTGAAATGGCATCACAAAGCATCAGAGATGTTTGTAGTTTTCTTTTGCATTGTTGTTTTTTAGATCAGCATTAATACATTGAATAAAATAAGGATAACAACCAATTTTAATGGTAGCTTAGCTACAAAATTTTCATTATATAATTTAGGTCTGTGGAACACATTGGATCCTAAGGGAAAAATGTATTTTGTAGTAAAAATGTAGTAACTTTTAAAACCAAATATGTATTTTCCTGGATTCACTCTAAACTTTGGAGGTTGGCAGCACTATGCCAGGAATAGACACAAATATTTAAATTGTTGCTGACAGATGCTTTGTGAGCACTGCCATATCCTCTGAGGCACTTTTCTCATTCAAAACAGAAATGCAGGTCCAGTATGATCCTTGAACTGATTAAGAAAATTGCTGGAAGAAGTTACATTTCATAAACGCTGAATTATTACCTGCTAAGTTGCTATTGGAATAAGCAATGTTACTGCTGATATTTTAACAACAGTTGAACTTATCTTTTAATTCAGTACATAGCTTATAACATAAGGTTACACTTTAAATTTTTTTTAAACAATTTTTAAGAGAGATATAGTGGTAATTAGTTCTAGCAAGTTCAGTTTTGTTGACTGGACAGAGTAAAATTTTTGTATAGAAACTGTTCAAATCTTGTGCAAAACCAAGGCAAATTCTGTCCTGTTAGAATTACAGATTTGGAAGTCTGTATCAGTTTTATCAGTTTATTAAGTTTATGTCATTTTTGTCTATGAAGTCTGTATAAATGAATAGAAGGCACAAAAATATGGAAAGCATTCTTCTCTCCTTTCTTAATTCTCATTAGGAATCTTAATTTGTGTTAGGTAGTTACTAGCACTAGTAAAGATATAAATAGCAATATGTTCTTATATGTTTATATTTGAAAATATCTTTAATGGTTTACATTTACGCTATATCTTTCCCCCCCTTTATTACTTAACATAGATAGATGTTAAATTACTTTAGTTTCTATCTGTTTTTAAAGTAACGCATTGTATTAATGTATGTATTAGGATGCTTTGGCAATCTGGGTTTAGCATAGTATAAATAATAGATATGTACCATATAGAATATTTAAGTACCCATAGTAAATTTGAAGTAGCAATAGGGAAAATGTAGTGGATTTCTTTTTGATGGACTATTGGTAATAGTCCAGCTACTTATCATATACCAATTGTAATCTGGATGAGCACAATAGGCAGATTTGTATGGTGTATATTCTGGTGATAAAAGGAGACAATGTGTCTTCTTCAGAGTTCTTATCTATCTTTCCCAATTAAATCTCAGTTTATTGGAAGCAGGCAAGTTACCATCAGTCTGCAAAAACAGCTATTTTCATAAGTCTGTTGTTGGATTTTATATATGAGCTGTTTTGACAAAATGCCATAATGCAATAAATTTCTCACATTATTTAGAGTCTTAATCTCTTGGAGATAATCTATTTTGAGACACGTGACAAGCTAGGGTATGATTCTGATGACATAGAGTTAGATGCATCTGTTCATACACAATAAAAATAGTTGATAATGTCTAAATTTAGAAAAACCTGTGTTTATTGTAATATCCCCCACAGTATGTGGTAGTTTACCACCTTATTAATAAAAGGTAGTAATACTCTGACTTTTCATAGTATGTGTGTTGTGTTTTCTGGTTTGGAAGGTATCAGTTTTTGGAAGAGGCATTTCAGAATCAAAAAGGTGCTATCGAGAATCTCTTAGCCAAACTCCTTGAAAAGAAGAATTATGTTAACTTTGCAGCTAGTCAAGTACAAAATAGGTAAGTAACAGTTTCATTAAAAGAGCTGATACTTTATTTAAATTGAGTGAATTGTTAAACTTTCAATATCAGATGGCTTTCCTTAAAAGTTAAACAGTTGGTAACAGCAATAACCAAGTTTCTACAAAAAGAAACTTCTATATACCAGCTGCATAAATGCACAGATGACCATGTAGAAATATTGTACAAATGTTTATTTTTAGGGATATTTACCTACTTTGATGTTTTGCTCTCAGGTGAAACAATTTAGTGCTTTTTTTCTCATTTTAAAAGTCATTGTAAGGCATTGCCAAGAGGAGTCAAGAAATGTTGGCTCACTTAACCAATCATTTAAAATTCTACTTGTCAGAGCTTCTTGAGTCAAAGAAAATATGGTGCATCTGCCTGCAGTGATCTATATAGCAGATCAAGAGATCCATAAATGTCATTAAAGAATATTAAATATTTTATTATATTTAACACATTAGTGAACATAGTATACTAAATACAAATCTTTCTACTTTGTTTGATTTTTATCCTTTCTGTCGTTTGTTGTAATTGGCTGTCAGTGCCCTTCTTATGATCAAAGTCTGCCATAGAAAGTCCATCTAGATTTTCTTTAGATTGTTTTAGCCTGTGGGAAAGAATAAACCAATGTATAATTGTGGTCAATGGGATAGCAGTGATTTCAAGATACTCTGCCAGGGTGAGACTATTTGCAATTTCTTCAAAATGTTTTCAAAGAAAAAAGCAAGAAAGTCCAATTGTCTTTTGGAAAAAGCCCTTTGGTGCAACCATGATCTGAATGATTGAGAATCTCCATAGATAGTCATTGCGCATCTTTGTTTATATTTGATTCTTATTTTAGACAATCTGATTCAATGATCTAATTTTACCACACTATGCTACTAAGACATCAATTAATATCCAGATATAATTGATGTACAACTCTGTTCTTCTAGAACTCCCCTCCCCCTGCTCCAAATGGTGGGAAGGAATAGACAGAGAAAGGAATAATAAGATAAGGGAATTCAAAATTGATTTTTTATTTTATCACAGCCTCAAAATCAGATAGCTGGAGTTTATTGCAAGATGAAGATTGGGGAAGCAAATCAATCACATAATGGCAGCTTTATTTTCTGATGTTCTAACTTCATGGATACGTAATTCACATTTCAGTTACTACAGATTAGAAACTATAACACAATTCTCTGTTACAGTACTGACATTTTTGTTATTGATTTGTGCATTTGAGATTCATACAGTTTTAATCCTCTCTGTGCTAGAAACTTGTATTTACAGATCAGAATTTTGTTTTCCAAATAAAAAAGACATTTCTTCTTCCAGGATCAGTTACTTTTTCTGTTTGTAACTTATTTAACTTGTGCATTACTTTTTTTAAAAAAAACCCTAGTCATATCAATTCTCATTCTTGGCTTCTGTTTTTTGATGTAGACCAAGGGTCTTCAAACTTGGCAAGTTTAAGACTTGTGGACTTCAACTCCTAGAATTCCTGAGCTAACCTAACTCTTAAAGCTTTAGGTTTCTCACATTTTTTCCCCTTTGTTTTAATATATTTCTTTCCAAAGTAAACCAAACATGAGACCATCAGCAGTTAGATGCTATTCCGACATTGGATTATATTTCAGGAAAGTATTCCCTCCAAGGGGTTATATTCTTTGCCTTTCTTTCAAATCAAATCTTTATGTTGCTTCCCAGTTCTCTTCAACAATTCCTATGCACATGCAACAATTCTTTATGACTAAATACCCAGTTAGGATCCTGAAGCATGAGAGAATCAGTTCCAATAACAGCAGAGAATGAAATTCTGGTCAGGATTGAGGGAGGTAGATTATGAGAACCTATGATTATGATCATGCGAAATAAAAAATGACGTAAAAGCAATTTGAAAGAAGTATTGCAAATACATTTAATAGACAGTGTGAATTCTTTTGATTGTTTCCTAGTTTGGAATAGATTATGGGGTTCTTCCTCTCTGAACTTGATGGTTTGCTAGCAGATGTTTCATTATCAAACTAGGTAATATCATTGCATGGCTAAATAGAATAGATACTCTGTTCTGATTATAGTTTTACCATACTGAATTTTTATGACTGTACTTTCTGTACTTTACAGTCACTGTAAAATAAAAAGGCAGTCACCACAGTACTCGATATTGTAATTTCTATTAGATTCCTATGGCAATAATAGCAGGACAAGCAGCTGTAGGAGAACAGTTATTTGTTATGAACGGAAAATAAGAACAGCTAGCTAGGTGAAATAGCTGGGGATTTTTTAGTTGTGATAAATGATTTTTAGTTAAGTTTTTACTATTTTTTTATAATGAAGAAAATCAACATAAAATTGACTATCATTTACAACATGTAAAATACTTTTTTTAAAACCCAGGAGCAAATTTAAATGCATAAAAAATGCTTTACAGTGTAGTAAAAAGAACCTTAAAAATTATAAATAATAGTTGTGATTTTTAATGCTATCTTTACTTAGAATAATGATATTTTGTATGAATCTGTATCAGTTTATTTTTTGAAATTTCATTTGCATGGGAATGGGAATAATGTTGAAGATGTTGTAATGTAAGTGCCTGATGACAGATTTCTCTCTTTTCAGGGTAAAAGAAGTAAATGAAACTAACAAACGAGTAGAACAGGAAATCAAAGTGGCTATTTTTACTCTCATTAATGAAATCAATAAAAAGGGGAAATCTCTCTTACAACAGCTTGAGGTACAGTTAAATTTAACAGTGAACATAATGTGGGTATCGATACGTATTATTCTTTTGATTTAAATGACCTTTTTAAGAGCTCTTTTCTTGATACACCATGTTATCAGTGGCAACAAACTCAGTTTATATTTCTTTCCAGTTTAATCTGGTCATAGGAAGATCAGAAGCATCCATTTTCACTTGGAAACAAAGTTCTGGAAAATTTTGTTGAATTAATTTGTCTATAGTTTCTCAAAAATAGTTTACAATTTGATTAGTTTATAAGCATAGCAAATAAATATACAGTAGTTTAATTCAATCTATACAAGGTTTAAGATATTTGTTTTCCTCTTAAGATTCAGTCTCTACCCCAAGATGTTAGCCTATCTAATGGAATAGGTGCTCTCAAATCCACAAAAGGTGTTATGGCAAATGACAACTCTTGATCTAAGTGATATCTTGATTTTGTTGGCTTTGGCTTAGCTTTGGCTTAGTAGCTAGCAGCCAGAAAAGTCCAGGCTAGCTTGGTGAATTAAACTGAATGTGACAGTAGGAATGCAAAGAATATAAACATGCACCTATCATCAGTAAAACACTAAAAGGGCTAGAGACAGGAGGAAATCCAATTCCCTTCTTTAAAGAGGGCATGTTGGAAGACATTGGAAAAGGTTTGAGATCTGCCCAGATAAAAATTCTAAACCACCATTCCCACTTGCTCAGAAACTGCTGTGATCTCATAGTCTTTGTGGGAATCTGACAAGAACATTATATGATTCCATCCAGTTGTAACCTATTTTATTAAAAACATAGTTAAATGTAATAGTATGATATATAAAATAAAACATAATATTAACCTCTTCTTTAATGTTGTTTGGACATCTCCCTTTCTCAATATGGAAATGGTCTTCATTCATTAGCTATTTGGTTTCTATGTCTGCAGAGCCTTATTCAGGAGCAGGCTGGCTAAAACTATTGGTTGCCACTCTACACTAATGCAAGTGCTGAACACCACCAATCCCTTTGTTCTATCCACTACAGCAGCTTTTCTTTATCTACTACAGCAGGGGTCCCCAACCACCGGTCCGCAGACCGGTACTGGTCCGTGGAACAAGTCCTACCAGGCCGCTGGTTTGCTGGGCGCCACCATCTTTTTTTGATGAAAAAGTGCTTCCGGTGAACTTTTCCTGGTAGAAGGCTCACCGGAAGCACTTTTTCATCAAAAAAAGATGGCGGAGCCCAGCTAATGCCGGTACCGGGCCGCGCCATAAAAAAGGTTGGGGATACCGGGCCGCGGCATAAGAAAGGTTGGGGATCACTGTACTACAGCAGTTGCCTTATTCTTACTTTCTCTATTTGAGTGTGATTGAGCTGAGCTCTTCTTCATTTAATTTTTACTCAGACTTAACATAAAGTTTTATTTCTTCTTCATTATGGTCCATGTACTTATGCTACATTTTATTTTATTTTATCATAAATTTTTTATATTTTTTTTTATTTTTTAAGACAAACATACAGACAAAACATAAAAAACATAAAACCATCTTCCAGTTATATACATACAGTGTGTCAGTTGGTTACAAATCTTTTGTGCTATCCTTTCATAGTCCTTATTCATAGGTTGTATAGATTCTCACATTGTCAGTCTAACATATGCTTATATATTTATCAGTTATTAATAATTCATTTGACTAAACTATTGTTTCATCATTTTATATGAGATATTCTAGATTTTATTATACATTTATACTATGCATTCTTCCAATGGTTATATATTTTTATATTATGTTCTATATCAATCTATTAGTCTTCTATTATAAAATTTCCTAGTCTATTTCATTGCCATGTCTTTTTATCTAACCATTGTTAAAATAAGTCCAATATCATATCAAATTGTTTATCTTCTTGTTCTTTAATTTCAAATGTCAATTTACTCATTTCAGCACAGTCCATAATTTTCTTAATAACTTCCTCCTGCTTAGGTATTTTTTCATTTTTCCAATTCTTAGCAAATACAATTCTAGCCGCTGTTAAAACATTTACAATCAAATATTTCAATTCTTTATTATATATTTCTGGTATAATTCCCAGTAAAAATATCTCTGGTTTAAAGTCTATGTGTTGTTTTATCATTTTTTTCCAACTATGTGTGGATTTTAGTCCAATATCTTTTTGCATCCAAACATGTCCACCACATATGGTAATATGAACCAGGTATCTGATGACATTTCCAACATTTATCCAATTTGTTCTTAAACATTCTCGCCATTCTCGTTGGGGGTAGATGCCACCTGTAAAACATCTTATACAAATTTTCTTTATAAGCAGTTGACATTGTCATTTTATAGTTTTGAGACCACAATTTTTGCCATTTCTCTAAATCAATTCCATATCCAAAATTTTTCCCCTATTTTATTTTATCTTCTATGTATATCCTTAGTCTTGACTGTGACTTCAGAGGCCACTCTTAGAAAATCTGCTGTTGTGAGAATACATTGCCCTTTAAAGGCAAGGATTGTTATAAAGGTGATTCCTGTTGCTTTTGTGAGTTTTTTTTTAAAAAATAGGCTTATAATAAATCGTCTAGACTTCATATGTTTGAGAATACTTTAAGATATATATAGTTGTCAGTGCAGGCATTATACCTTTACTATCTTTTACTAAATATTAAATAAATAAACTAAAACAGGACCCTATCTGGTCTGATCTGATCTGGTCTGGTCTAGTTGTTTCACTAACTGCCAGATCTTAATATAAGAAAAGACTCCACACTGCTACTATCATAAAATGTGATAAATACTATTATCCATTTATCTTTGATTTCCAAGAAATGGGAAACCATTTCTGAATTCACAGAAATAGTTATGAAGCATATTTTTAAATCATTTGATCTTTCATTACTGAATTTGCTCAGTTAAAAAAAAAAAGATGGAAAAAAGGCAGAAATTAAATCCAGGAGATGTTGATTGCCACTTCCCTACTGATTCATTTATTTTTCTAGTATCAGCATTTCCTATTAGAGAAAATGAACCAGGAATGAGCATTCCCAGAAAACAAAGTGCAATGTTTTAAGGCCATGATGTCTGTTAAGCTACAAATTAATGCAGAGCTGGCAGCATATAAATTTAATAAATAAAAAATAATTGGGTTCTGGAACAGATGCTGTATAGTACACTAACTTATTGATACTGTTTCTTCTGACATCTCTTTTTGAACTTCAAGGACTAGGACTGCATTTGGCCTTTGAAAGGCAGATCAGAAACAACATTCTGGGGAAAAAAGGGCAAAGCCAGAACAATTACTACATTGGATTTAGCTGATTTAACTTAAATGTTTATTGATTTAAATTTAAAATATGATTTCTTCCTATATGTTTAATAATTTTCCTATTCTTCCACTTTAAATGCTACAATTTAATAGAAACATTTGGAATACAAAGGGGATTTATGTCATTTTTTCTCTCTCTCACCAGTGTCTTAGCCTGCTTTACATCTTTCATGATTCATTCAAATACTTCTGTTGATTCTTGGATAATTGAAGTTGTCTGGAAACTTTTCTTAGACAATTGTACCTTTCTACCTCTTTTGGAAGACATCTCTGCTCTACTGTGCAAAGGAGTGATAGAAGAGGGTTATTATGATTGGATAGTACAGTTCTTTAACACATTTCACTCTTCTCCAATATCAGCATTTTAATTACATTGAAAGAATCTATAAAGCAGATGTTCTGTCATCATGAATGTTGAAGTCTTGTTTACTTATCAGACATAAAGTTACTTTTAAGTCAGTTCCAGCTCCTGGTGACTTCAGGGACACATTCATTCAGTTCTCTTGGCAATAAGATGCTTTGCCACTGCCTGCTTCCGGAATATCTTTTTAGCTTCCTACTCTGGTCTGTAGCTTTGAAATTCTGGCAATGTCCCATCTAGGAACTAACTAAGTCCAACCCTATTTAGGTTTCAATTATAAATTGACCAAGTGTTGCCACCTGCTAAGACATTTATTATAACATATTTTAAAAACTCTTTATCTTCTGTTAAATAGCAATCATACTAATCATAGCAATCATACTAAACCACACTTTTCATTGGTAGAATTTTTACATTCTTATGCACGCTAACATGAAAGCTAAATGAATTCCCCCATCAATTCAGGTTCCGAAACTTACTTGAAATTTATCAATGATTCTTGCAGAATTTTTGTTACTATTTGAACTTTTAAATGACCTCTCACTGCTGACTTTTAAACTATCTTTCTTAGTGACAATCACATTAGTGTAACAGCCCGACAAACTTTATATCTTGTGTATTAATCATATATAAAATTCCACAAAACAGTTCTTTGACCTGATTTAAATCTTACGAAAAATACTTTTTTTAAAAAAAATGCCATCTCATTATTGGTAAACCAGCTTGCTGGCCACTCACTCATGTATGTAATGCAGAAATCTTGGGAAGATCAGATTACTTAGTTGTAGCTGCAGTTGTAGTAATCTGTTCTTGTTGTCAGTTTTAGTGTACCTCATCTTTTAATTTTAACATGATTTTCTGTTTTAATTAAGAAACATCATTTTATATATGCAATACACAAACCTGATGATGGCAGATGAGATTCTGCC